CAGAACTTATGAATCACATTGTTCATTTCCGGAACCCAGCAACCTATACCATGTCACAGGGCTTGGTAACCCCCTTACCTGGAACAAACCCACTGGTTGGAACTCAGCTGCGTTTACCCAAAAACGATGATCTGCGGTCAAATTCTTTCGGTGATAGGTTGTTGATTCGGAAAGCACCTAATCGAGGTATCCGATGCGTTGTATTATTCACAATCCTGTGCAGTCAGCTACTCTAATAGTCATTGTGAGCAGAATGCCTCGGGGTCGACGACAAATGCTCACCAAAAATAGAAATCTGGTTTAAAGCAATCGCTTTGTTTGTACCTTACTTCAACTCGGGAGATTTTAAGTACCAGAAAACGGGTAATTCAAGCAAAGAGCATTGGTTGAGTTAAACGCAAGTTTTTAATAAGTACAGTTACAGAAAATATGCCAAAGAACTATGCGGAAATCTGAAATTGTAGTGATAGTTATCTCTAAATAAAGATTTTTAAGGAAATTCCTCTCTTATATGGTGAATTGGTCTTGTGAATGAGACTTGAGCTGAAATGTGACGGAGCTCTGCACCGGTGGTTCGACCCGGTTGGATCGCATCAGTGCAATGCTAATCTATCGCCTCAACTGGGGATCGAACCCGGGATCTCACAGGTCACCGGGCCACCGATCAGACTGTTGCTTATTTTGAATATACACGACTTGGTGCCACCTACCTTGGCGAGCCTACTGCGAGCATCGGACGTCGGTCTGCTCGATACTAGCCTCCACGGTCATGATTCAGTTGGAAACTTTCACAAGCTGAAAAATTGTTGTGTGACAGACCCATTCCACTCATACAAAAATTCATCTTTATGCGGAAACCATGGAATACAAAACTAAATGATAGAAAAGCTAATAACATGGGGTTGGTTGGTTTGATATTATTGGCAATTATACATACGTTTATATATCTATAGATACAGGTCTAATCGAAACTGAAGCAACAGGTCCCTGTGAAACACTTGTCGGTTCGTATGGGCAACAGCATTCATATTGGAGTAAATGTTTTTCAAAACTAATAATAACCAAGTCTTGGAGAGTCTTTATATCCGTGATTTTCCTGAATCGTTTATATTCAGCAGATGGAATGATTCAAAATGTAGCGAATGCTCCCATTTCATCAGTAGTGGTTGACCTGGACCATGATGAGCTAAGAGGTAACTTAGGAGAATGGAACAGTTTTTATTAACAACAAATTTACATTGATAATAAGCAAGATGTAAAGTTTGTGTACACTAGTACTCGATTAGTC